TTTTTTTTTTTTTTTTGAGGATTTAGTTTCTCTGCTTCTTAGCAGATGTCAAAGAACAGCATTTCCTACCTCTTATCTATTATCCTCCTACCTTTGTTTCTCTAAAAGCCAAGGTGGTGGATAGAGGTATTTGTGGTGTTGGGGCTGTGGGGTGGGTTGTGGGTAGGATAAGGAATGAAAGACAGCATATGGCAATAATGAAGGGCAATGGGCAAATGTCAGTGGAGTTAGATTGGGGGGCCGGGATAGGGAGGAAATACAAACGTTCCAGGCACTGCGCTTTTATACTCTATATTCCCATCTCAAACTTAATTTCTACATTGACATAGCTTCCTTCCTCAAACTGAATGGAATTTTATCTGTGGGACCAGCTCTGTGTGTGGCAGTGTGGGGATTTTACGAATTATGCTCATTTGGAACATATATAGGCGAATATTCTTATCAAAAGTATAGACTACAGAAAATTACTGCATTTGAGTACAAAAATTAGGGCTGAGCTTCCTGAAAGTTAAAAGATAAGAGAAAACACCGTGTTTGTTTAGTAAAAAGTGTAACACTCTAGTTTTTGTGTTTTGGTTTGTTTTTATACAACTACCACTGAACAAGAATAATCTCATTTGCAATTTTACCAAAAAAATGTGCTCATCAACATAAGGATCTATTTCACATTGACTGTCAATAAAACCCAACAGTAAACTTAGAGTGATAAGCAGCAAAACTTTCTCATTTGAACGATTTTTGATGGAGATTTCTCTCTGAAGATTTGTGTAATATCTATAGATTTTATAATTAAAATATATTAGAGAAAAACTACAAAGTACTAAAAGATATTACACAGAAAATAAAAATTATCCAAAATCCCATTACTGAAACATTGCTACTGTTTTCTTTCTGTAATGAATGTCTGATTCGTCTCTACCCTTCCCACTACAATTTAAGGTCCATGAGATCAGGGACCAAGTACGCTTTGCTCAGATCCTGGCCTTCTTAAAGTGAACTACGCATAATTTGTTACTAACAACAAAATCATTAGATATTATTATATTGTAATTATAGGCTCAGGAAATAATGACGTACAGAGGGGCAGTTTACCCCCCAATAAATAGCCTGCAGTTTGCACAGTTTTGTTGCAACTTGTATCTCCCTTTGTCCCTGTTTTTAGAAACCATTTACAATTCCATTCCCACCCCTAGCTCTCACCATCCACTCTCTCCAAACTGCCTTTTGCATACCCCGCTGCCGTTGAGTCCATTTGGACTCAGAGCGACCCTATAGGACAGAGTAGAACTGCCCCATAGGGTTTCCAAGGAGCGCCTGGTGGATTCGAACTGCCAATCCTTTGGTTAGCAGCTGTAGCACTTAACCACTAGGCCACCAAGGTTTCCGCCTTCTGCATAGATATTAGAAAACGATGATTACTACATATATTTCATCATGTAACTCCCCTGCCTGAAACCCTAGATGGTCCTCCTCTGCTCTGAAAACAAAATTTCCAACTCCTCGTCTAGTCCCTTATCTATCATTAAAGCACCACCTCACCTGTCTCCCCTTCCTCTCTGGATTCAGCCACACTGACCTCCTTTTGGTTCTTTGAATGCTGCCCCCTCCCACTCACTCGCCTTTACTTAGTTAATTCCCATTCATCCTTCAGATCTCAGGTCACATGTCCCCTTAGGGGGAGGGGGGAGGCTTTGCTCTTCAAGCAAGGCAAGGTCACCCTGTACATACTAGGGTATCTTTCCTTCACAAGTCTTAACCCATTGCCGTAAGTCAATCCCAACTCATAGCGACTCTGTAGGACAGTGTAGAACTGCCCCATAGGGCTTCTAAGGCTGTAAATCTTTATCGCAGCAGACTGCCTCGTCTTCCTTCCTCGGAGCAGCTGCTGAGTTCGAACTGCTGAGCTTCTGGTTAGCAGACAACTGCTTAACCACGGCGCCACCAGAGCTTCTCTCGCGGTCTCACTAGGGTGCGATTTTACATTTATGCTGATTATAATGTTGAACAGCTACCTACTGTAAGTCTGGTTTTGGTGACTATGGCATCCCCAGAGGAACCCTGGTGGTGCCGTTGTTAAGCGCTTGGCTGCTAACCGAAAGGGTCAGTGGTTTGAACCTACTGGCTGCTCCGCGGGGAGAAAGATTAGGGCAATCTGCCTCCATAACGATTACAGCCTTGGAAACCCTGTGGGGCAGTTGTGCTCTGTCCTACAGAGTCGCTATGAGTCAGAATCTACTCAAGGACAATGGATTTGGTTTTGGTTTGGTTCTATCTCCAGGACTAGTATTTGAAGACGTTTCATTCAACAAACATTTCTTAAGTGCCTCCATCATGCCAGGCACTACTGTAAGCAATGATTTAGGAGTCTAAAGTTTGGTTCCTTCGGAGTCCTTCCCGACTCTCACCTGGAAGAACTGAGATTCCCGAATCTAGGTAAGTGAGGCGTTTCTGTACTAAAATTTACCCATAAGAATGATTGAAGGACTTCAGTCTCAACTTGATTTATTCATAAAATGTCACTAGCAACAGAATTTTTTTAAATCATGTTTATGTGTAAAGTAAAATGTTATAAAATGGCAAGCTTTAATTGCACGATTAGAGTAACAATCTAAAGAAGTCCTTGGAATGAATTATTCTGTAAAATAAATGTTCCATTTTTGAAGTCGACAATCATCACCTAAGTTATATTTTAAGTCTACATTTCTAAGTATCTTAGAGAAGCAAACATTTTTAAAAATCTGCCTTCCACCTATGACAACTATTATGATCTATATTCTTGTATAGAAAACACTCAGCCACAGGGGCAGTTAAGTAACTAAGGGCGAATACTCGCCAAGGACGCGAGACTAGGAGAACCGATGAGACCCCATCGGGTCTTTCCTCCATTCTTCCCAACCAACCCCCACCCTCGCCCTCCAGACGCCTTTTTCTTCACCGACAGACCGAAGCCCCCTTCGCGAGAGCAGAGGCCGCCAGCCTACGAAAGGATACCGGGGTGGCTCTAGCGCACGACGCCAGGATAAAGCCCAGCTTTCAGGAGAAGCGAGGAGTTTCGCTTCTCGGAGATGCTCCAGCACGGCCGCGTCGGGGCCGGGCGCCGAGGCCACCGGCGCAACGAGGCTAAAGGCGGCGCAGGCCGGTGCTGCCAAGCCTGGGTGTGCGGAGGCGGCGCCAGCGCCGAGAGGCGGGAGCGAGCTGCGTCCCCGCCGCGCGCCCCCTCCCCGCGGCGGCTCAGCGCTCCGAGCCGCGGTGCGGGAGAGCCGCGGGTGAGGGTGTCTTCACTGCGCCGCGCTCGCATCTCACTTCCCAAGAGGCGGCTGCTAAGGCCTCCTTCCCTCCCGGGCCAGAGGATGGAGCTCGCGGCGACAGCGAGGATAGGGAGGCCGAAGGCAGGACTGCCTCGAACCTGCCCTGGGTTTGCTCCCTCGTGCCAAAGGTGCCTGGGCGGGAGTGACGAGGGCAGAGTCACTGCACCGGGGTGCAGAGGGAAGCCGCCGGTTCGGGCTTTTTAATAAACGATTTGCTATCATTAATAAGGATAACTGCAACACTTAAAAAAGAAAATTAAAGCCCTGCCTCGGTGTTAGCCGGCCACACAGCCCGTCGAGGTTTTCGGGCAGCTGACCAGGTCGAGGGAGGACAGAGGGAGAAGGAGGCTTCGGATCCGACTCCAGAGCTGACCGGGAGGTGTTCTGCGGCCCGCTGGCTCCGCAACCCCTCCCAGCGACTGCCCTGACCTGGGGCGGGCGTGTAGGGGCGAGGGGACAGCCACCGTGCGCTCGGTGCCAGAGGCCCTGTCGGGTCTGGCGTGAAGACGGACGCATGGACAGACCCCAGTAATCACAGTATCGACCCGGGCACCTCCAAATCGAGCTATGTTCACACGCGGACTCATCCTTTCTCTTCCTATCGGTTCTCCTCCACCCTGCTGCCTAGGCTCTGGAGATCTAAACTCGGCGTTTCGCCTTACTTCTTCCTGGGGAAGAAAGACAAGGATGCAATGGCCTTCCATTCTGACGGCCACAGGGCTCCGGAGAGGGGGTGACTCTTCCACAGCCCAAGCGGGGTTGGAGGCGCCTAACAAGGAAGGCAGTATCCGGCGGGGCCAGCGTGCGCCCCCGGTTGCCCTGTGCGTCTGGGACGCAGAGCGCGCTCCCAGCTGGCCGCGGCCTCGGAACCAGCCCACAGGCCAGGGGTACCTCTGCTGCCTGTCCCGCGGGGTGGGTCGCTGGGGCCGCGGCCGAGTCGAGCACGGTCCGGGCACTGCAGCCTCCAGCGTGCGGACAGTCCGCCCGAGACGCGCCTCCGGTTACCCGAGCGAGCCAGGGAAGCGCCCTGGATGATCGTGCCCCCCGAACAGCCGACAGATCACATTTTACAACACCTTTTTTTCCCATCATGTTTTCTACCTGCCCTCTGCACGTGCGGAGGATATGATGACCAAAAATAAAATCTTAGCGGTGCCTTCAAACCTCCGTGCCTCTCTTTTGGGCATCTGTAGTATTTATCCGTTCCCCGAAACCGGTGATCGAAAAGTAAACAAAACAGTGAGAGCTGGGTAAAAGCTGGCAGGATTTCCGCTAGCACGGTCGCGAACTACATATCCCAAGAAGCCCGCGGAGACCGGGACGCGCGTCCACTCCGCCATCCACTTGGAGAAGGCCTTACTAAGCCTGGCCGCGACACTCGGGCCAATCGCCTTGGCTTTCACCTTGGTCTGGACCCTGGGACGGATTCGCCCTCAAATGATGCTCCAGTTACAGGACTAACCGAAATTTATCTTTGTCTCACAAAAGAGGAGGAGCGTGGTTCTTGTCCGTTCCAGCAGAACGACTGACATCCTTAACCTGAGCATGCCAACCCTCCGGTTGTGATTTTCGTGGAGGTCTGCACGCCTGCTTTGCGCGTTAAGCCACAGGTTTTTGAGCCGTGTTTGCTGCGGTGATTGACAAGCGTGACCCTGTCGAAGCGGCGGTTGGGTCCTGTCTACATCTTACGTTTCTTTCTTTATCCGTGAATCATCTCGACGGTCCGTGTTGTAAATGTTTAGCATTTTGCTGCTTTACTGCTTATTTCTGGGAACAATTCCAGCACTTGCTGAAACCGGCGGAGAGAGGCGACTGAGCCCCGAGAAGAGCGAAATATGGGGACCTGGGCTAAAAGCAGATGTCGTTCTTCCTGCCCGCTATTTCTATATTCAGGCGGTGGATACATCAGGGAATAAGTAAGTCGAGAAGCGGCACCCTAATCATTTTGGATTTCAGTAAAAAGTGACTATTTTTTCTGCTCAGGAACTCCTTTCTACACAGCAGTTTAAATTCTGGGATATTTGGGTGCAGTCCACATCTGGTTGTTGTACCTCTGTCCGCCATCCGAATCAAATTTTCACGATAGCTGTAGCAATAATTCCGAGGTGGCTCTTCTTTTAGCTATTTTGGTAGAGATTCCCACATTAGCAGGGGAAGACAAAGGCCCTCCACTTTGCGGAAAGTACTGTTTCTAACTCCTGTTTGCATAAACTGTTATAAGGAATTTAAATGCAATGGTTAGAGACACGGTTGGTCACTTGACTGTGGTGGTGTCTTCTATTTTCAGGTAGACATCTGCAGGTAAGCATGTTTTGAAACTCAAAGAAAAATGAAACTTTAGATCTTAGAGGGAAAGTAGCAAAGTATGAATCTCCTGTGTGTCTATAACAGAGGTTTATTTCATTCTAATGATTTCAGTATGTTAAAATTCTACTTAAAACTCATTTTTTAAGTCACATACTTGTGAAATGGTTGTCTTTTTATTGATGAATATTGACCATGTATATTTGGTATAAAACGGATCTTAGGAATACTATGTTTCCAAAGCAAAGGAAGTTTGTAAATTTTGTCACTTGGCTATAAATAGTATATGCTTGGGGAAACTAAATACCTTATTAAGAGGAAGAGTACTCCAGCAAAACATTTATACAGCATCACTAGGATAACCGTCCACCTATGCTGTGCTTTTCCAAAGCCGAGCATGATTTATTGGATTTTTAAGTCATTGAGTTAAAGTTCTCAAAAGAAGATCATTATCTTCATTATCTTTGGAGGCACCATTTGGTCACATATTTCCAAATGTGATGGGCATGAAATAAATAGTAGGTTGATAAGGATATTTTAATATATGGAAAGTGTAAATATGTTTCATGTGTACGTAGATTCGTAGGCTAACATATTCCCTATGACGTTCTAGTGAAACTTTTTTGTGTCATCTTGAGCATTGTCATACTTTTTTTTTTTTTAAATCTCTGTGATCCATCATATTCTGATAGTAAAAGCACAAGAGAGGATAAACAAGCATATGGTCAGAGGAGACTGTGGAGGAGAATAATAAGGTTCTTAGACTAGAGAGCATAATCATTTTGAGTTTGGTCCTTAATATAATATTTGTATTTTATCACTTCCCATCACAGATTCACATCTTCTCCAGGTGAAAAGGTGTTCCAGGTTAAAATCTCAGCACCAGATGAGCAGTTCACTAGAGTTGGAGTCCAGGTTCTAGACCGAAAGGATGGATCCTTCATAATAAGATACAGAATGTATGCAAGCTACAAAAATCTGAAGGTAGAAGTTAAATTTCAAGGTCAACATGTGGCCAAATCTCCATATATTTTAAAAGGTAAATTGGAACATGATTTTAAAGCAACACTATTTGGATATAATAACAGATACTATTCCATCAACAAAAATAACTTGGCATGTTTGTTTTCTCCTCCACTGAAAGAAAAAAATAGAAGTTCTTTATTTAAAAGGTAAATTAAGAGTCTTGGTAAAAGAGAGGAATTCAGGATTTGAACAGAAATTATAATTGTCTAAAGAGGAACAAAAACCTAAGCCAAACCCTTTGCCCTATTCTGACTCCTAGCAACCTATAGGGCAGAGTAGAACTGCCGCACTGGGTTTCCAAGGAGTGACTGGTGGATTCAAACTGCCGATCCTTTGGTTAGCAGTTGAGCTCTTAACCACTGTACCACCAGGGCTCCCGAAAGAGGAAAGAATGTATTGATGGAGAATTTTCTCCCTTTAGGAAAAACATTAGTGAGATTAATGAGGCTGTATATATGACCATATATACAGATGTGTGCCTTGAGTAACCAGTGTTATTGAAATTTGGCAGATCATTGAAGGAAGAGAGGGGGTTGAAGTAGAGCAGGTGAAAAGTTGCCTGTTGTTTTCACCTCCGTTACAATGCCTGTTTTTCCAGGGAATTCTCTCTTATGTAACATGAGAGTATAGCTTTATTACCTAGAGCCATATCTTCTCTTCTAACAGGAAACCAAACACCACGCCAAACCCCTTGCTGTCAAGTCAATTCTGCCTCTTAGCAACCATATAGGACAGAGTAGGACTGCCCCATAGGGTTTCCAAGGACCAGCTTGTGGATTCCAATTGCTGACCTTTTGGTTATCAGCTGTACCTCTTAACCACTGTGCCACCAGGGCCCCCTAAGAGGAAACGGTACCCAAAAACGGTGGAGAAGTAGTGTTAACAGAGAGGCACCCCTCAAGAAAAGTAGACATTTTTTTTAAAGTGTCTAGATTCCTTTTTCCTGCATTCCACCAGGATCACATGGTACAGTATAACCTGCTAAACCTTAAAAAGATATTCCATTTTCAACTACTGCTTGGGTCAGGTGGGAATCTGAGAATTCTAGAAAGGAATGACAGTAAAATCTCAATTCAAATTGTCCTGTTATATATTAGTATTATTTCTATAAACATAGAATTAATTCATTAGAATAATAATGGAATGGACTGTATTGAGAATTACCTTTTCTTCTTTATAATTTTTTTTTAAAAAAATACCAAGCGTAGTATTTGTTACGTGTTTCAAAGTAATGATGATTTACCCTATTGAGACAAGCACCTTAGACACCTTTGGAACCTGTTCATATAATAGACTGTTGAAATATTAATTTCATATAATTTTTGCCTTTCATTAAAACAGGTCTACTCTGACATCCATTTACCATTGTTTGGTTATTCCTAAGTGCTTAAAATATTTGAATTAATAATGAAATATAATACCCACTGAAGAGCAAAAATTAATACCTATTGGCTTTTTTTTTCCTTCATCTTTTATTTATAGTGGTGAAAATATACATAACAAAACATATGTCAATTTCTACTTGATAATTCAATGACATTGATTACATTCTCCAAGTTGTGCAGCTATTCTCTCTGTCCTTTTCTGTATCACTCCACCACGGTTAACATAAACTCAATGCCCCCTAAGCAAAAGCGTTCGGAGAAAATTTACTGACCATATTAGTTTCCCATTCAAAAAACTTATACACAAATTGTTTTGTGACGTTGTTTGCAGTCCCACCAATGTGTCACTGTTGGCTTTCTTTTAAGTTCATGCGGAGTGGATCCAATTTTGAAAATGTCACCAGACTTCACTGTGAAGATCTGTCAGAGTAGAGAGCTGTCTTACTAGCAGTGCCCAAGTGTAATAGAATTTTTTTTTTTTCCAATCAAAATGCTCTTCCTATCTGATGAGGCAAACTCTGCGAATCCATATTACAGAGATTTGTTATGTGTTTCAAATGCTGAGTGAAATTATTACTGTTATACTTCGTTACTTGTGTGTGATTAGGGCCAGTTTACCATGAGAATTGCGACTGCCCTTTGGAAGACAGCGCAGTCTGGCTGCAGGAGATGAACTGCCCAGAAATCATTGCTCAGATTCAGAGAGATCTGGCACACTTTCCTACCGTTGATCCAGAGAAGCTCGCAGCAGAAATCCCAAAAAGATTTGGGCAAAGACAGAGCTTGTGTCACTACACTTTGAAGGATAACAAGGTATAATACATGGCTGAGGTATTTGCTTGTTTTAGTTTATTTTTTGACCATTTCGATATAACTAGCTAAATGGTTTTGTTAAAAGCCATTCCAGTGAGGATCATTATGACTAGCTTGTCTTCAGTGAAGTCTGTCAGTACTTTTAGACTAATATAAATGTAAATTCTGCCTTAGGTTTACATCAAGACTCATGGTGAACATGTAGGTTTTCGAATTTTCATGGATGCAATACTACTTTCTTTGACTAGAAAGGTAAGTATATATATTTTCTCTTAGGTATGATATATAGTTTCAGCCCAAGGTTTACAATATAATTTGTCAAAGTAAAAATAACAACAATATAAATGGTTTTCTGTTCTACAGTCTTATTATATTACTGTTCTAAAGTTTTGTGTCATGCAGGTTATGTCATAGAGGAAAATAATAATAAAATTATTTTTGTACTAAGCCTGTTTTGAGTCCAAGGAAGACTTGCCTTATACTGAATCCTGTTTCTTGGTATAATGTACTTTAGCAGTTCTGGTGGAGTACTTTGCCAGTAATATGAAAATGACTGATAGGAAAAACTATACCAATATTCTTACCAGTTATTCGATAGCTATTTATTGAATAATCAGTGTACATATCTTGATTGAACTACCCATTGAAAATAATAGTTTCTTCTCAAGGTTACAAGGCATTTTCAATTAGTGAAATCTGAATGTAGGTAGCTATGTAGCATCAGTTATTATGCCTCCTTGAAGCTGAGATACCAGAGTGCTGGCAAATTTTTCTTGCTCATCTGTGTCAGTCTGTAAAAAATAAGAATGTTCTTCAGGACTCTGGTTTCTCAAGGTGCTTCACAGACTGAGCAATACAGTTCTTGGCCTAAAGTATAAATCTCTTATTTAACAAGTACTCCAAGCATTTTTTGTGGCTAAATAAAACAAGTTCTTTCAACATGTTCATATCATTAGTCAGTAGAGGCAGCATAGCTTGGAAATTAATAGTACTGGCTTTGGTGTTGAGCTTCCTGCGGTCAAATCCTGGCCCCACCATCTACCAGGTGTATCTTTTTGAAACGGAAGCCTCATTAGCAAAAAACTAGCATCAGAGTCCCAAGTGCTGTTCTTTGTAATTATTTCCTTTCTCTCTCTGCCCGATCATTTTAGAGTCTCTTGGCAGTATTAGAGATTACTTTTGCCATTTCATCCCTTTTGCAGCAAATATACTGGCCAGTTGGGCACTATATTCTGAAAAGTTGCCCACTGTTAAAACTGAGGAAATTATCATTACCTGAAGCTTGTAAGATTGCCCTTCCATTTGGTGCTCATTTCTAATTTTAATTGACAAATGCAGAGTAGTCTCCAGTGAAAGAAATATGAATGAACTCCTTTCTCCTAGGTGAAGATGCCAGATGTTGAGTTTTTTGTTAATTTGGGAGACTGGCCTTTGGAAAAAAAGAAATCCAATTCAAACATCCATCCGATCTTTTCCTGGTGTGGCTCCACAGATTCCAAAGACATCGTGATGCCTACCTATGACTTGACTGACTCTGTTCTAGAAACCATGGGCCGGTGAGAGACAGGTTACGGTTGACCCAGAGCATTGGTTTTCTTTCCTTGGTGAGTTCTTTTCTAACAACCTTTGTGATGTGAAGGTTTGGGAGGCAAATCTGTTGCACTTTCTGTCTTCTAGAGTAAGTCTGGATATGATGTCTGTGCAAGCTAACACGGGTCCTCCTTGGGAAAGCAAGAACTCCACAGCTGTCTGGAGAGGTCGGGACAGCCGCAAAGAGAGACTCGAGCTGGTGAAGCTCAGTAGAAAACACCCAGAACTCATAGACGCTGCGTTCACCAACTTTTTCTTCTTTAAGCACGATGAAAGCCTGTACGGTCCCATTGTGAAACACATTTCATTTTTTGATTTCTTCAAGGTATGACATCATCAGTGGCCAATCTTTTCTGTTTTTCCAGATACCTTCATTTATGTATAAATAGCCCTTGGTGGGGGGCGAAATTGAGGCCTATAAATTATAGGAAATGGATAAGGGAAGCACAAAACTTGATGAATATCATGGCATAGGGATCCCTGGGATTGGTTTGGTGACCTGGCACTATCATCTGTCCCCAGCACAGATGTTAAATACACATTGAGGGCATCTAGGACCTGGGTACAGCAACAATCTTTTCCAGCTAATTCTCAAGATAAACAAATGTCAGCTCCATATCCCCTTTTATTAATAAGTACATGTAAATCATTTCCCTAGAGCCCTAACAACCCAACAGATTAAAGAAGATGTAAACCAGGATCTCTTATCAGGCCTTTTGGTGGCGGAATAAGTTGAAACTCAACCAAATGTTTTGCCCGGGAATTCTGGAGATAAAGGATAGCTTTCTGTGTCTAGAATGTGGATTGCTCGTGTTCTAGGGAGTACTCTTTTTCTAACAACTCCCTTTTTCAAGTAGTGGGACACTGCCCTGCTCACTAGACCACTAGTGGGTTTTGAACCCCATGTGGTGAAGAGAAAGGAGGGCAAAAGGTAGTTGCCTGTCCTCAGTATGTTAGGACACCAGTGATTAGTGGGCTCTGTCTGCCCTGTAGATGCTCAGGTTTTCTTTTGATGGGTTGTGTGGCAATAAATCTGTTGCCATATCGAGTCAATTCCGAATCATAGCGACCCTATAGGACAGAGTAGAACTGCCCCTATAGGGTTTCCAAGGAGCAGCTGATGGATTCGAACTGCCCACCTTTTGGTTAGCAGCCAAAGCTCTTAACCATTGCACCACCAGGGCTCCTTTATGGCAACATATGGACTCAAATAATGCCATAAATTGGCAATATTTTTTCTACATGCAGATCTCAAAGATTTTTGTAAGATTACAACCAAAGAGAGCTGATATTGGCCATACCTTCTCACAGGTGTATTACATTACATGATTTCTTTGCTTTAGTCCTACCTGTTGGATTTTCTACAACTAAAGATTAATTACCCCCGTTCTGTGAATGTTTATATTCACAGATGTTCTTGTCCCAGAGCTTGTTAATTTCCTTAAGACATATGTGTAGCCATCTGGTGTTTAAATGGTTATCATGGCACAAAATGTGACATCATTATGTTCACACGCGACTCAGTAAAGTAGTAGAGGAGTTACAAAGTCAGGAGTGAATACATCTGTCCTTATGTTGTAGCCTTCGGAGAACAGTTTTATTATTTTATTGCCTGCTTCAGTGTTAGAACTGTTGCCTCCTTTGTGGTATTTAGGGGAGCAGCAAAATGAGTAGTTAGCTTTTGGGTAGCGTGTTATACTTTAGCACTTATAAACACAAAGACAGAGAGCAAAATCTGGCCAGTTTGTATCTAGGGTTGGTGAGGGTTCATGTATGGTAAGGGGAAGAGGATAAAGAGAGTGGAATAAAGGAGATTTAATTGAAGTCCTCATACCTTACTGCTTATTTTGCAGCATAAGTATCAAATAAATATCGATGGCACTGTAGCAGCATATCGCCTGCCATATCTACTGGTCGGCGACAGTGTTGTGCTAAAGCAGGACTCCATCTACTATGAGCACTTTTACAATGAGCTGCAGCCCTGGAAACACTATATTCCAGTTAAAAGCAACCTGAGTGATCTCCTAGAAAAACTTAAATGGGCAAAAGATCATGATGAAGAGGTAAGGTCAGTCTCCTAGAGGGTTTACTTCCCTTACACTCACACCCATTGCCATCGAGTCAATTCCGACTCAAAGCAACCATGTAGGACAGTGTAGAGCTGCCCCATAGGGTTTCCAAGGCTGTAATCTTTAGAGAAGCAGACTGCCGCATCTCTCTCCCACGGAGCAGCTGGTGGATTCGAACTGCCAACTTTTCAGTTAGCAACTGAGAGCTTAATCACTGTGCAACCAGGGCTCCTTCTACATTACACTAATACCCCAATATCAGGGGTTCATTTTAAGTCTTGTACCTGGGAAGTCTTCACGATCCTCAGATATAGAATCTTACCTGAAATGGAAAGCCACCCTCTGTGGAATAAAAATCACATTAGTTTTCCTCAGAGTGCACACAGGCATTGGGTCTTAGATTAACTGTCCACTCTACATGAGAAACAAAAGCTAAACCTTGACCTTGATATGCTGTTTTTCAGTCAGGTTGTTCTGAGCCTCAAGCACTGCCTTTAATAGCAAATATGAAAATTAAGATGGCTAGTGTTTCTTGTGCTATGGGTTATAATAAGGGATTGCATGAAACTAATCCTCAAGCTAAGTGTCTACTGAAAATGTTAAGGCAGAGAATTAAGCATCATCTTGCATTTACATTACTTCACTTAATGTATACCTTCTCTCTCCAAGACAGTCTTGATTGTCTTAGTTCTAGAAGGTTTTTGATTCACTTTTGTTCTACGGTCCAATATGACTTCTCAAACTTTCTAGTGTTAAAAACCTCCCTTTGATTTGGACAAACATACCATGTTAAATGTTCCCTTGACTACATAAGACCATCCACAAAGATGTCTTTTCCACTCTTGTCCCACTGTATCTATGTGCTTATATTTATACATAAAAGAAACACGTAGAATTATTAAATTATAAAAATATATTTTATATATGGTATTTATTTATTCTGAGGATCAGGTTGCATATGTCTGTGTATTATGTCCTAGTGCGCCATGACAAATTACCACAAAGTGGGTGGCTTAAAACAACAGAAATTTATTCTCTCACAGTTCTGGAGACCAGAAGTCCCAATTCAGGGTGTCATCAGGGCCATGCTCTCTTTAAGGCTGTAGGGGAGGATCCTCCCCTGTTTCTTCCAGCTTCTGGTAGCCCCAGGCTTTCCTTGGCTTATGCAGCATCACTCCAGTCTCTGCCTCCGTGGTCACGGCATCCTTCCCTGTGTGTCTTTTCTCTTCTTTTTTAAAGCGACCCGTTAAACCCATTGCCATTGAGTTGATTCCAACTCATAGCAACCCTATACGACAGAGTAAAACTGCCCCATAGGGTTTCTATGGAGCAGCTGGTGGATTCAAACTGCCGACCTTTTTGGTTAGCAGCCGCGTGCTTAACCACTGCACTCCCACCAGTCACATTGAATTAGAAACCACCCCCCCACACTCCAGTATGACGTCATGTTAACAGTGGCTAATTACAACCGTGAAGACCCTATTTCCAAATAAGGTCACATTCGCACATATTGGTTAGGACTTCAGCTATCTTTTTGGCGGTTACAATTCAATCCAGGTCTGCCTGGTAAAAATTATGTTTCATTAAAGATGTTTTTTCCCTGAAGACCAGATTTACTGGCCTGACAGAGACTGGAGAAACCCTGAGAGTATGGCCCCTGGACACCCTTTTAGCTCAGTGGTGAAGTCACTCCCGAGGTTCACCGTTCAGCTGGGGATTGGACAGCCCCATAAAACAAAACGGGACTAATGAGGCACAGTAGTCCAGGGACAAGGACTAGAAAGCAGGAGGGGACAGGAAAGCTGGTGATAGGGAACTCAAGGTTGAGAAGGGACAGTGTTGACATGTCATGGGGTTGTTAACCATTGTCATAGGGCAATATGTGTACTAACTGTTTAATGAGAAACTATTCTGTAAACCTACACCTAAAGTACAAAAAAAAAAAAAGAATTATCTGTGTGAGATCAAATTTACAACAGCAACTCAAAAGGTTTGATGGGAAGCCTAGGGGGCAGCAAGTTGAAGATAATGGTGATGGAATAATTTGGAGAAGGACAGTGAGAATAGCAGCACAACTGGAAGAATGTAATCAATGTCACTGAATTGTACATGTAGAAATTTTTTAAATGGTGTATCTTTGGCTATGTATATTTTTACCAAAAAAGAAAAAAGATCCTCCAAGGTTGAGATGGGAGAGTGTTGACATGTTGTGGGGTTGTTAACCAATGTCATAAAACAATATGCATACTGACTGTGTAATGAGAAACTATTTGTTCTGTAAACCTTCACCTAAAGTACAGTAAAATAAATAAATAAATAAAGATGTTTTTTCCCCCTATAGGCAAAGAATATAGCAAAAGCCGGACAAGAATTTGCAAGAAATAATCTCATGGGTGATGACATATTCTGTTATTATTTCAAACTTTTCGAGGTGAGTATTTTCCAAGAAAATAGACGCGTAACTTGTAGTTGTACATGTCCTCAGGAACAAATAATATTTCATTTAATTTCTGAAAGTATATTAATATGAGGAGATATATGTGTACCTCTGTAAATGAAAATCAGAAACAAATATTAAATAGTAATAAAAAAATTGTTGTAAAGCAAAGATTAGCTAGTGGAGAGAACTGCATCAAGTGGAAAATATTATTAGAACTGTGTGGTATATAGGAGCCCTGGTGGCACGGTGGTTAAGTGCTGGGCTGCTAACCGCAAGGTCAGCAGTTTGAACCCACCACCCACTCCACGGGAGAAAGATGTGGCAGTCTGCTTCCGTAAAGATTTACAGCCTTGGAAACCCTATGGGGCATTTCTGCTCTGGGTAGAGATAGGGTTGATATGAGTTGGAATCAACTCAACAGAAATGGGTTTGGTCTTTGGTTTATGTGATATATGGTTAGGAAATTGATGTCTGATCCTCAAAGGTACTTTGCACAGATTCATTTTTCTCTTTATACAGTAGTCCTCCTGCCTTACCATTTCTTTGAACAGTGCAAGTTTTGTTTGGACCTGTTGTTCTTACCCCATATGAACTGTGGTTTGTCTGGATATTGTTTTCATGGACCTAACCATGTAGGGATTGTTATCAAAGCATATCTGACAATTTAAAGACTTTAAGATAGAATTCAGTAGTTAAACAAGTGATTTACTAGTAATAGTACCAGATGTAGATTAAGATTTTTATCTCAGAATTGCACATACTGAACCTCATATCTTAGGCTCTGCTATAGAACAAACCAGGTTTATTTATGACCTACACTGGGCTCCCCATTTTGTACCCTTCCCTAAGGGATGGTAAAGGGAGAGAGAGTGAACTGTGTAAACTGAGTAAACTAGGAGGAATTATTCCCTGAATTTCTAAAGATCCACAGGATAGCACTCATTCTTTAATGATTACTTGAACATAAGTACGTCGCACAGTTCCTAACACAACTGAGCACATAACAAATGAAGGTGGTGATTAATGTTTTTGCAAACCATGGTGGAGGATAAAGTAGAAATAGTCTCTGTCCTCAAATTCTCCATCTAATAGGGAAGATCAGGAAGATTATGTGCACAGTTATTTTCATTGCAGGGCAGAAGGTAGTAAAAACCATACGAGTCATATAAATTCAGGATGGATTAAGGAGAATTCCATTAGGAACAGGCAGCCTGTGTTCAAGGCGAGCTGCCTCCAGAAGCTCTGTATTTGAAGGGGAGTGGAGAATTTTCCATATCACAGACTTGACATATGTAAGTTAACTGAACCATGGGCTAGCAAATTTTAGTGTATCT